CATGGGCAATATCAATGACACTAAATTTACCCACGTCAATGCGCGCGGCATCGTATACACTACGCCTGACTAGGCTTAGAGGGACGCCTACCATAAATGTCCGCTTATGTCACTAAGGAGAGTGTCGTGGTACCCTTTTCACTTTCATTGGTCTCTCCTTCACTACTAACCAATTGGACCCATTGTAAATCCCATTCGGTTAGCTCTCGTCTCAACCCGTACAGAACGAATACCCCTTGTTATGTGTGTGTAGCTTGTGAACGATAACGATTGTGTGTTCCGTTCGAGTGACGTGGTCGTGTTTGTGGTGTGTTACCGCTACGTTCATTATGTCGGCTCTCGTCGTCGGCTAAACGTGAACCTTTATTATTATCGGATAAAAGTAAACACCCTATTTCCGTGCGTTTTTTCGAATGCCATTTTACATTGCACCGTCCTGTCTTCGTAACAGGTGTAGGCTTATTGTCGTTACGGCTAGAGGACTTTTGTGGATTGATATACCATGTACCCGATATTTTGATCAGGGGTTTCTGGGGTAGGCAGAGTTGGTTACAGATTTGTATAAGAAAACACAAAATAACCAAGGTGATTAAAGCATTACTATTACGATGTTACACCCTCGACAGAAAAGAGAATGGACCACGGTGTCTTGTTGTTGTTTTGAACGTAAAAATACACAATACTAAAAATTCATTTCATTGAACAATGATCAATGAAAGTATTAAATCATTGATTATTGTCATTGATCAATGAAAAAAACTCTCGTTCATTGATATTGATACATGATCATCGAAAATTTTCATTGAACGGGTTGTGACTAGTAAAGTCACTAACATTAACAAGATCTTGTTGCTACACTAAAACCTATAAACACCTCAATCCACCAGGCACTCACAAAAAAGATACCAATACACAGGAACCATACTTTTTAAACTCTTTGTGACTAGATTATTCTGTCCTCTCATGTCATCCTCTCCTTTCTCAACCAAAAGGTGTACGTGTTGTTTTCTTATTATATGTTTGTTATATCAGGGTGTCATTTTTTGTTTGACATCGTTTTATATTGTATGTATATCCGATTTTATTTATTTTCCCTCCATTTGTTTACATTTCTTTTCATTTAACTATTCATTGTCGTCACAATACTAGGGACTCCTATAATGTGCCCAAATTTACAATGACCTGTAATCAGATACCGAGTCCGTCACCGCCGCGACCAAACATTTACGAGGCTGGCAGGTGTGACGGGTGTTGTTGCGGATATTGTCTGTATTTATTTGGTCGCTGACAATTAAGCGGTACTGTCTGTCATACACCAAACATAAACAAATTGAAAACAGATCAAAGACTTGTCTATACTTCTCGACACTCGAGACTCACGATTCTCGATTGTCGAACACAACAAAAAGACCCCTCGATAACTTGTACGCAGTGCCGAGGCGGATGGTGACGTATATGATAGGATCTGACATATATCTATCCGATGGAGGTCAAGAGTGCTCAGATTTTTTTGTTGAGTGCAGTTGCGTGCATTCCGTTCGCACCCGCGGTTGCCCTCGCGGGAGCACTCGGTTTTTATAAACTGTCGCGACTAATGCGTATTATGTTGTGTACGTGTGTCTTCCTAAGTGTTTAACTATAAAGGCCTAGTGTGATCACAAAAAGTTATTCCATGTACATTATAATTTCTGGTTTATGTCTTTTTTCAAAATGTATACATAAAACTAGTGGAAAAAAAGGCAAATTTAGGGGACTTGCGTTTGTGTTTGGCGAAAAGACACGTACCTAGGCACACGAAGCCCACACCCAAAAACTCTGAGGGGACTTGCGGTGGTCTAACCATGATACATTAAAAAGATAGATATTCGGTAGTCTACAGAAGGAGTTAAGAATTCGGTTGGTGGTACGTCGCGCGGGGTGCTCCCATACTAAATTAACGCAGTACTGTGAAGTTATATGCGTAAAACGCGTATGGCAAGTCCGAGCGATTTGTCTCCCGCCTCGAAGTCCAACTATACGTCTCGACGTACAGAGGCAGTCTGGGTCGTCGANGTACAGCATTTTAGTAGGATAGTAGTATTTTAAAGTGTCAAAAACAAAGTGACAGTAACAGACTGGAACAAGAACAACCAGTGTTTTTTTACCTACTGGTACTAACCAGTAGGTAAAAAAACACTGGTTGTTCTTGTTCCAGTCTGTTACTGTCACTTTGTTTTTGACACTTTAAAATACTACTATCCTACTAAAATGCTGTACAAATCAGATTTGTTATTTAATAAAGAACATTTTTTCAAGTAAAAAATAAATAAATGTCAAAATAAATTGTTCCCAATTTTTTTTTTTTTTTAAATATTTGTTCTTTCTTTTTCAATATCACGATAAATACCGTACCGTGGACTTGTTACCGCGATATTATCGTACCGTGAGTTTTTGGTATCATTACATCCCTAATAGATATACTTCCCTCGGTAACTGGTGGAGAACAGAAATTGAGCTAAATGACCTACATTGGCCAGATACTGGTAAAAGTAAGGAAGTATTGTTTCTAAAGAACAGTGAAACTGGCTCTGGTTATTAAAATGTATGTTTTATCCTATCTCTTCTTGGACCATTGTATTGCTTGCACTATTTTGTATTGCACTTCCTTATGTCTATTACATGTTTCACTTTTGGCGTGGCCTGGAATTTAAGATTTCCATTGCAAACAACTACATGGTAGATGTTGTGCATACGAAAATGAAAACCTTTGAATCTTGAACATGTTACTGTTGCATAAATGCCTTAGTAGCTTGTATAGTTGGTGGCGCTAGTTTTAACTACTTCATTTACAAGAAACAGTGTCACTGATGATGAATAGGATACGAAATATATAGATATACTTCCCTCAGTAACTGGTGGAGACCAAAAATGGAGCTAAAAGAGAGTGAATATTGAACCTATTAGCCAGATGACCTGATAGGACACTCCAAATTCCAAACTAGCTGAGCAATGAGTATTTTTAAAACACATTACCCTCTGCAGCACATCATTTGTCGAGCCTGGGTTTTCCCTCGACCCTACTTCCCTATTTGGAAACTTTTGTAGAAGAGAAACGAGGGAAAACTCCATGACATTGAATGGTAATATGGTAAAACTGACATTTAGCCTTAATGGCATAATGTAACGAGTCAGATCCCTCTCTAGAGTGCAGCTATGCCTTGAACTCTGGTAATCTGGTAGTTATTATTCAGTTATTTGTGAGTGTATCAACACGGACACACACACTGTTTCTCCTGGGTTTTGGGATTCCTGGAGGCGAGGTGTCACTGAAGGGGCGTTAAATGGAAATGGATATGTTCTTAAGCTGACAGTTTCACTTTAGCTATCGACTGACAGGAAACGGGACAGTCGTTTAGAGCCTCTAATAAATCCACACACACACACACACACACACACACACACACACACACACACACACACACACACACACACACACACACACACATACACGAACACTGAGATGATGCACACACTTCCCCAAAAGGACCATGGCAGCAAACATATGGTGCGTCATCGATATGCTTCGCGTGAGTTTGAAGGCTTGACGTTTCTCCACGCTGCGTGCCATATGGTGCCGCTGATCATGACACCAGGGATAATACAAAGTAAGATATAAATAGAGGAAACTATTGAGACAAAGACATAGAAGGTGATTTCTGTGTGTTTTCTTGCTGTTTGTATGGAAAAGGTGAAGTGATAGTGTGTTCCTTTAGTTGTAGAAAATGCTGAGAGGTGGCGTGTTGTGGGACTGAAGCAACGAGGGATAATAAATAGACGGAGGAAAATCATCTCTGTGGGATGTTTGCTTCAATGCATGAGTGCTTGAGAAGGTCATTTTGATGAATGATAAAAACACTTTGCATGTTAAAATGTTCCTTAAACGTAGCTTATCCACAAAATGACATCAATTTCCTAGTTGAGAAGACTGATACTGCTTCTCTGTTTTAGTTAAGCTGACCAGGCGTGAAATTAAACATTTAAAAATAGTAAAGTATATCTTGTTTTTTTGTCAGGGGGACTAACAACAACGTTTCACACTTGGTGAAGTATTGACGTCTGAAAAGCACAAGATCAGACTGACATTTTCGTCATTACCGTTAAGCTCAATTTATAATTGGTTTATTTTGTACATGAAATGAGACCAGCAAACAATACGCTTTTTGTTGTGAGGATATTTATAGTGAAAGGGTCTTTTGGCCGAGATTCCAGTGTAAAATAGAGTCTGCTACTCTTTATATTCACTTTCTTACAATTCTCTGATATATTTTATTCATTTAGAGCAGCCTTAGATTATTTGTAAAGATCGAGGTTAAAGCTCTTCATTTGAAAGGGAGGATTTAGACTCAACTAAACTTGCCTGCTTTTAGTTTTATAAATGTTAACGATATGTAAATGTTTAAACAACATTTAAAGAAGACATGTTCTGCTCATTTTCAGGTGTATATCAGTATGTAGTGTCTCTACTTTAAAGAGTCCTCTCCTGCTGATGTTCAGGTGTATATCAGTATGTAGTGTCTCTACTTTAAAGAGTCCTCTCCTGCTGATGTTCAGGTGTATATCAGTATGTAGTGTCTCTACTTTAAAGAGTCCTCTCCTGCTGATGTTCAGGTGTATATCAGTATGTAGTGTCTCTACTTTAAAGAGTCCTCTCCTGCTGATGTTCAGGTGTATATCAGTATGTAGTGTCTCTACTTTAAAGAGTCCTCTCCTGCTGATGTTCAGGTGTATATCAGTATGTAGTGTCTCTACTTTAAAGAGTCCTCTCCTGCTGATGTTCAGGTGTATATCAGTATGTAGAACTAACGTATATCAGTATGTAGTGTCTCTACTTTAAAGAGTCCTCTCCTGCTGATGTTCAGGTGTATAGACTGTTGGCAATAATGTGTAACTGGTGATAACGCAAATAATGATTTACTTTAAAATATTTTTTACAGTATGATTCCATAAACGGGTTAACTTACTGGGCTGTATGTAGTACTCTCTTCCACTCAAGGAAATCATGGCTGAGAACTGGTCTGTGTCTGTTGTGGTCAAATAGTCCAACCCGAGGGTTTGCCCATCCTCCAGCTCAACTGTGCGGTTGGTGCCCTGCTGGCCGATTGGACAAAACATCTCACTGTGGCGGACGGACACTGGCAGGCCGAGGCGGTTCTTCACTATGAAGGGAGCCTCATCCTTCTGGAAGGAGTCAGCTGTCTGTTTGGCAGCCTCTGCAAATGCCTGCAGAGAGAGAGAGAGAGAGAGAGAGAGAGAGAGAGAGAGAGAGAGAGACAAGAACACATTATAGAGGACCGCCTATCCTTTGACTTCCTGTTAAAATGTTAACATCCCTTCTCTTACCATGCCCAAGTTACTCAACATGGCCAGCCCACATTTGGAGAGGGTGATGTTGAGCTGGTCTTTACTGCTGATGACAATGACTGTCTTATAGTCTGGGACATAAAAATCCACCTCATCTGAACCTATGTAGTTCACTGGCTTCTTCTTCATCTGGTTATAGGAAAGATAAAAATGTTATACACTGTGCGCATATTTGAAATGAATATATAATATATATATATATATGGTTTGTTTGTGTTTATGTACAGTATATCAGTACCTTCAGTTCAAGAGTCCATGATCTAAAACCATCCTTCTCATCTTCTAAGGGCTCCAGCAGCGGTTCCCAAACTCCCAGCACCTCGTTGTAATAGTGAACCTATTAACCAAAAAGACAGAAAACAACAGCATATTTTACAGTTATTTTTGACTTTTAGAATTATGATAAGGTCTTGGGATAAGGTTAAAGAAATATAGTGTCCGTGTGGTTTACCTCCAGGTTGAGCACGCTGTGTAAGTTAATAAGTGTGGACCAGTTTGCCACGTCTCCATGGAAGGAGGACTTGATCAGGAGCATTGGGATCGTGCGGTGTCCCACTCCAGCCTCCAGAGTCAGACAGATCGATTTAATGGTCACCTGCAGGGATAGCCATGAAATGACATAACCTGTTATAATGCCTCAAACTCTTATTCAGTGTACAGATTAAAAAAACACTGATCAAGAGTTTTTGGTATGACTGTGATCACAGATTAGAAAATATGTACTCTATTGATCCCAAATTGGGAAATGTTTGCATTGTAGCAGCATAAAAAACAAGGAATTGCACATAAGTAGAAATGAAAAGAGTAGAAATAAACAATTAGAAATAAATAAAAACTGCAAAAAAAATATCATAAGGTATTATCATTTACGTCAAAGCAGCCACCTACCTGTAATGACTCTCCAGTTGGTATCAGTGGGGCCAGTGACTTTGTGTCTTCATCCCCCTCTTCTTCTAGGAACCACAGTTTAAGCTCCTTCCAGCCCCGTTTCTTCCACAGGTCCACAGGGATCGGACTGGCCAGCTCCTCGGGGGTCTCCGCTGTGGGAGTCAGCGCAGACTGGATGGTCATCACTGTGTTGATGATGATTGGAGATACCTGGGCAGAGATTCAAACAGCAGACACATAATGTTTTATACAAAGTACTTAGTTCAAAGCTACGTTTCTAATCATACAAAGTGTCAACTTTATTTTTCTTAATCTTTTCTTTGACTTGATGCCACAATTGACATCTCTGCTGGCTGATACAAACGTATCGTGCCTAACCTGCATCAATTATTAGAAAATATGCCAATTTTAAAACTCTATGCTACTCCTTAAACAACACTGTCTGGAGATGGTACTATAACTTGAAAGGGAAACTTGAATGATGTTATGATGTTGTAGCCAGAACATACTGGTTGACTTTCTGCGTTTTTTGATCAAATGAATGCGTACAAGGTAGTTGGATAAAAAGGGAAACAACTTGATCTCCTGTTAAGGTAGGGATCTCTTCACTTCTTTCAGTTAATATTTAAGAAAAAGCAATTCATTTCCTAATAAGTAATTTATTATCGACAATGGCTAGATGGAAACGTACTGAAAATTAGTATAATTTAAACAACAGACCTTTCAAAAATATAATTCTGAAAGGGGTAGCCTAACTAATAAAAGAATTACCTTTAATGTTAGAGCATTGATGGAGACCTCCATAGCCTGAGGGGAGGTGAGGGATTGAGAAGTCTGGAAGAAAACCTGACACGGCTGTAGCACTGTCGTTACGTTGTTTTTCCTCTTCTCTCTCAAGAATGGACACGCCACCACCTACGGTAACAACCAGAACATTTATATTGCATACGAGAGCACTTAAGACACAACCTGCATTTTGCGGCTTACATAAACATGCTCATACAAACCTTGAGTTCCTTGATAACAGCCGTCATCTGTGATCCCTCTGCACTACTCTTCATCACTAGTTCGCACTGCGTGGTCATCACCAGAGCCGGAGCGTCGGCGCGCGTCAGGTCAGCCACAAACACAATCTCCGGGTTGCGCACCATAACATTAATCTCTGTCTTTGAAACCACAGCTGGAGCCACAGCTGAAAGCGGCAGAGAGTGTCATGGAGTACACATCAGTTCAAGTTGGGTAAAAGTAAGTCAGATTATTTGAATTCTTATTTTAAAAAAAAGGTTATTATTTCATCCACATGCTCACCACTTTGCTGTATCTGATACATTGCAGATAGCGTAATGATGGTGAATAAAAAACAACTTAAACTTCATTCAAACTGATTTGGTAAACTCACTGGACTCTTTAGATGTTGTAGAGGAGTTTATATTCTTTCTCTCTCCCGGTCCAGTACTGGTCTTGGGTTGTGGCGCCTGAGCAAACCCTTGCTGGGTGGCATTGAGAAAGATGTCTGCCACGATGTGAAGGAACTCCATGCTGGCACACAGGTACACGTCCTGCACCAGCGTGTCCAGAGTGGTGCCTTCACGGCCCTGACGATAGTTCACCTCCACCATCATGTTCTGTTCTGCACCAGGACGCATTGCAATCATCCTAGAGAAAACAAAGCACGAGAGGAATAAACAAAGTTACATTTCATTTGACCTAAATGATATCTTTGGTATGATATTCATGTGTTACAGGCTCAGACGTCTGATCATGTTTTTCTATATTCAGTATATAGGTTTTCTTCATAAGATCACACAAACCATCCCGGGGACGACAACTATAAAATCTCATCAATCAAACGAGGATATTAGATTATATTGTCTTCATTATTATTATTATAATATTGTGTAATACTTTATTACAATTATTGTGAAATGTTAACTAAATATTTCACAGGCATGATGAAATATACCATAATAATAATACATTTGATTTATCAAGCGCTTTATCTGGTGCCTAAAGACACTTTACAGAGGGAAAGGAAATGAGATAAAAAGTCAAATGAAATTGAGCAATCGAATTGTATTCTCTTCTCCATTTAGCAGCAGGACAACATGGATCACTTTGAAATGGTGAGTTGTTGTCAGTGTTTTGGAGGTGGGCAGGTCAGTGCAGTCTCTGAATTCCAGAGGAAGGGGGCTGCGATGGTAAAGGCTCTGTCTCAATGTAAAAAACATTTGATCTATACTGATATACTGTATGTGTGTGTGCGGTGTGTTTTTTGTTGTTGTGTGTTTCCCAGTACCTCGGGGTGACCATTTTGATTCTGGTTCTCTTGTCATCTAGAAGGCAGGCAGCCAGTCGTACTGAGGCCTTCATGGAGCTGTCGGAGAACATGTGGACGGAGGTGGAGATGGTGTCCAGAGTAAACTCGGCCAACTTCAGCTGCTCATCGTGTGAATCTAGCGTTAGTAACTAGATAGTGACATAAACATTTGATTAGAACAAGTTCGCTATGCAGGTTTTGTAAAATTAGGTCGAACAAGCCTCATTTCATACATCACTTGGTGTGTATACATGTGTGTGTGCATGCAAGTGTGTGTGTGTATGTGTATGCATTACCATATTCCCATTAGGGCTATACAAGACAAGTGTCATTGAGTCGAACTTGAAGTCTAGTTTCAGTGTGCTCTTCAGCTTGCTTTTTTTTCTGGGCTCCACAACAGCAGCCGTCACCACTGTGTTGCCTATACAAATGACACAGCACAAATAACAAACATTCTTAAAAAGAGGTTGATTCGTTTGTAGATATTTTTTTCAAGGGCACATTATATTTTCAGTTTTATATATTTTTTTAGGTTTCTACTATAATATGTTTGGATTCTCTAATGTAAAAACAACCAACACATTATTTCTCTCATAATTTCTGTCTGAATAATCACTCGTCTCTTTAAGCCTCAGAAAAGTCCAGTCTGATTGGCTTGCAAGAAAAATAAGGTGAACCTTGGCAAAGAAAGGTGTCAAGATGTAAGTGGAGATTGTTTTTATTATAAAGAGCTTGTATCTGACAGAGGAACGGAAGAGAAATATGTTTTTTTATCCCTTGTTTTTTTGTACCCAGACTGCCCACATCTCTTTTTCAAAATGTATGTACACAAGCACTGAAGCTGTGAGATTTTCATTATATGTCCCCTTTAAAAGTATAAAGAACATTTTGAATGTCATTAACTTTTCTAGGATTGTTTTGTGTAAGGCTCACCTTAACCCTTTAAACTCTGAGCTAAAATGTTCATTTAGAGGACTGACGTATGTATGTATCTGCCCATAGAGCATTTGTATCCAATGTTCAAATGTTTTAAATGACTAAATACATCGTGATGCTGAACTAAGACTGCTTACTGCTGGCTGGTCCGGTGGTTCCGGAGCCCATGGACTCTTTGTTGGATACGGTGTCGGAGGATAGATCAGTGGAGGGAGAAGGAAGAGCTGGAGGTGGAACAGCATCAGACTTCTCTGTCAGGTTCTCACTCAGAGTCTTCAGGACCACCGTCATGTCATCCTGGCTGAGGATCAGCTGGAGGGGACATACAGAGAATTGATTAATTATCTAATTATAATTTAGCAGTCTAACAGTTTATTATGTAGTCATTCATCAAACCAAAACAATGGAATAACATAAACAAGCAAAAAATCTTATATTTCACGATATTGCAATCCACAATAACATAGTCTGAATTGATAACAAGCTAAAACTGACCATAGATTTTCAGAAATTTGCTTAGAAAAGATGAGGAAATACTCAGTACTTTCACAAAAGGTACACAATAGGCTTTACCATGAGGTTATTTCATTTAGACAATTTATTCTGATATATCTTTATTAATATATAAAATGACTACATGTTTCCTCACTGACCCGCAACTGTTTTTTCCACATCCGCAACATCGCTAAACTCAGGTCCATTGTGTCTCATGCAGAGCTTGAAATGGCTGTCCACGCATTCATATCATCCCGGTTAGACTACTGTAATTCACTTTTCACCTGTCNTATGCAAATATGCAACTTGTTTGTTCTAATGTTAATAAATGGGAGCTTCCTCAAACAGCCATCTCTTTCCCGACAATCCCCTCTGTGCACGAACCCTTACATATGGTAATTAAACCTTAAAACACCTGCGGCTTATAGTCCAGTGCGGCTTATATATGTACACATCATTCAATTTAGCTGCTGCGGCTTATATTCAGGTGCGCCTTATAGTCCGAAAATTACAGTAATATGCTTCAGGTCAAGTGTTCCGCATTCATTCCAGTACTGGCTGGATGATGGATGGTGTGCCTTCAAACCAACATACCTGATGTGGGTTCAACCCGAGACTACAATCAATCTTAATGGGCTAACATGCATTAAGTGAGCTAGCTGCCACTCTGCTCTTCTGTAACTCGAGTACATCATTGCATCTATTGTACATGCATCAATCAAATGCGTCTCGACACACTGGAAGGTGTTTAAATCAGTCGGCCCTTCTTTTTCTGAAGAAGGAAGGCATGCTATAGTATAGTGGGTCGCCATGTATGCCTGCTGTTGGAGCAAGTGCCCTAATGTCACTGTTCAGACTTTATAACATATTATTTATATCTAAAATAAAAAAAGACTTTTCCGACATAAATCAAGCATAAATCTTTCTTTTGTGGCATCAATTAGCTGTTTCCTTCTGTTGTTTTCATTTAGGGAGTCTCAAGTGCAAAAACACTTGTGGATATAAAAACTAGGTTTGCAATTGAGGATTATTAATGATACATTCGACCATCATTTTCTCAATATATATCATGGTTTTGTCAGAAAATGTCAGAAAATAGTGGAACATTTTCATCACAGTTTCTCAAAGTCCAAAAGGATATGATCAAATGTCTTGTTGTGTAAGCAGAAGTAGCAGGACATTTCTATATTTTAACTGCTGAGATTAACATGCTCCACCATTTTAGGAAAATGTATATTTTTTGAGCAGCTTTAATAAACACACTTTAAGGTTGTTTAGAATAAGGTTCCACCAGTGCTGCACTTTCATAATTGCATGAAATCCAAGCTGCAATCTACTCCGGCAGCTTGCATTGATCTGTGGGGTGTGGGCGAAACATAAATCTGTCCCGATCTGATTGATTGATGGAATTCTGTGTTTGTGCAGAAGTGTCCATTGACTGGAGTGTTGAGGACGTGTTCCTTCACTGACATGTCTTCTGCAGTCACCTTGACTGACCCAGTTTGCCTTACAGTGTGACCCTTTGCTTTAAGCCAGACTGATGTTTGCTGCGGTCAGTCAAATGCTTTGAAGAGGACAAGGGGGGCCTTAACCTAAAAGACTTGTGTGGCTACATGAAGCCACGTCTTGTTTACCAGAGGACCTTTTTCTGTTATGTCAAGCACAATTTTGTAGCGATTAGAATTTCATATGAATATGGTTTGATACATTTCTAATAGCAGAACCAAAAAATAATTTAAATGTGCACACAGCAAAGCAGGAAACATTAATCTTGCTGCACTCAGGACACACTTGAAGAGGGGCTAGTATAAGCGCCTTAATGAAGGGGTGAATAATGATAACATGTTTTCTGACGATGAGGAGCTGATATGCCTTTACCTGCTACTTGTGTTTTTCTTGCTTTTGCTTTTCCTTTTCAAGCTTTCCGTCTCTCCGCTGCTGATGAAGGGTGGCATGGAGGCATAGCCGTGTTCAGCTTCTGCAAGCAAATAAACAACATAGTTATCACGTGTCCATATATATATATATATGGCAATGCAAAATATAGCCACAGTGAAAATATGCTAAACTGACAACAGTAGTACAGCAAAATGTGCCACATTTCATCTTAAGCCTATTAAGAATTCAGTAGCAATGTCTTGTGATTAAATGCAGCATGCAATGGATGGATTTCATGCAGTATCTTTATACAGTATTTTCTCTCCTCAGCCTGGACAATGATGTCATCTTGAACTGGAATAAACCCCACAACCAAACCACAACAGAGGGAAAGGAGGGGCCTCCATGAAAACAATGTCTCCCTGCACATCTAACTACACATGCACAATATGCTTCTTATTCATCAAAAAAAGGCAAATGCACGTGTTTTTTGTACTTGCAATATTTCCCAAAAATGTCAGAATATTGATTCATTGATTGATGTGCAAAATTCATTGCATTTGTGAATGCATGGCTCCGATTACTTGGATGTAAAAAGAAATAAAGGGTTGCCTGCAACAGGATTGAAAATAGCTTGCCTACATAAGCATGATTGAGGGGGAGGGGTGTGATTGTAATTGTTCTTGTACACAACATAGATTGTAGAAAACAATACACTTTACCTCGTTCCCTGCGCTCAAGATACTCGGCTGCTTCGATCAACATCTGCACCATTCCGATCGCCGCCATTTTCCACAATAACACTGATATTAATGTAACAATCCGATGAGGGGTTCCTTGGATGTACACAACTTGCCTCAGGTTCTACCAATGCTCGCCTTTTTACACCCTGGTGGCTGTTCTAGTTATTTCCTTAAAAAAAGGCAGTTACTCCTAGAGCCAAACGCTGTTATGTTCAAGTTAAATGTACTAAAATCAGCACCATTCAGTTAAAAGACAGGCTCTTTTTAATGACTGTTTAAACGGTTCAAGGGATTAGTGTTAGGTGCCTTGTCAACGCTAACACTTTTAGCCCTTTTTTTTCAAGCAAAGTGATTAATATCGTTGGTTTTGTAGTTCTTCGATGAAAAAAATAGCTTGTTGACAAAACAAAACGGCTTGCTTGACTTATACAAATAAAACCGAGTATTGTTCCTTTTTGTCGAAACAAAAATGAGCTAACGTTAACACGATAAAAACTGCTAGCTCGGTTGATGTAAAAGATTAGGTCAATCAAAAAAAAAACGACCGTTGGCCGTCAGTTGGTGTAAAAATTGATAAAAAAAACACGAGCTAGTTGTCTTGAAAAGTTCAACCGACGGAGTCTTCTAACCTTATCGGTTCAGGGCTATGTGGCTGGTTAGTTCTGTGCTGGTTTATCGCTGATATGTCTCTCTGGAAACGCAGATAGCTGACTGACATCAACTGAGGAACAGTGAGTGTTTATCAAACTGCTTCCAAAATAGTGGCTTGTTGATCTGAACGTCAGTTAACTACTGTAGCCGACTTCACCACAAAGCTCCCGTATACTGCGATACGATTGGCTACTGGACATAACCAGTCAAGCTCCTACTGGATATGCATGCCGTCAATCACCAACGCCTCGTCACCAACTGCCACTGGGGCTCTTGTTCCGCCATTTTGGTTCTAATTCACATTAGCAAAAGCGCACAGCATTGAGCCAAGATGGTGACAGTTTCTGCATTCAACAGTCGGATCCTGTGATTGGTTGTTTGCTGGTAAACTTGTATGCTATTGGTTGCAATGCCCACGAGCTAAAGTGACAACGCCCGCTCAATGACAGGCGACACGCCTCTCTGCCATGCTGGTTCGCGGTGTACGGCGAGGATTGGTTGCCATGATGTTGTTTGTCTAATTTCGTGCTCAGTGGTTGGCCGGAATCACATGTTCTCTTATTATTGGACTCTCAATGTCCTATCACAAAGCATACATTTGCGCAGGCGCACTGCATAGTGAAACGTGATATTAGCCAAAAGCCTGCTTTAAAATCTGACGGATGTCCATATTTAAAGTAGGAACAATATAAACACTGGACCTACTACACTAACGACGACTTGGGATAGGATATTCTGCTGCATACTGCGTTCTCCAGGACTAAATGTAATAAATGGATTGCACACCACTCCATAGCATAGGCTTGTAGAAAAATATCAAATTAGGTTAAATATGGTGACAACTTGACAAACACACAAGCAAGCAAGCAAGCAACACACGCATACCCAAGTCTTTAAGTGTAGAATTAGCTGCATTTAGACATTCATTCACACTACACCATGTTATAATCAAAATGTACAATAGCTAAATGTTGTTGTTAGAAAATTAAAAGTTACCACACATCATGGCAAATGCAACAGGAACATTTGGCTTTATTTATTCTTATAATAAGAACTGCAAACACACATATTTAAACTGCTTTTATTTCAAATAAAACCGACCAGGCACCTCAACAACACAAAGCTCCACATATTGTGTCCGCTATCAATAATCAGTCACAGCCGAGTGTTGATAGGAGATTTAAAAAGTATATACATAAATGTTGCATAACACAAAACAAGAAACAGCTCAATATCATCCACAACTATAAAGAAGGAGTACGAAGGTGAGTTTCACGAGTTGTCGATACTTTCAGGCGATGAAGTCCAGTGGTCTGTTGAATCCACCTTTTCTGTTCATGTATTGCCTAAAAAAAAATATATATATAGGAAAACATTACATCACTGTTACCGTCGCAACACTTGCAGATTACATCATCGAGCACCAATAGGGGAGCCGGGATCTCTGCATAGAGACACCTGCAAAAGGTGATTGGCTAAAGTAACAGTGGATGATGCTGAGAGCGCTCTGAAAAGTTGACACTCGTACTCAGACACCTTATCGACAACAGGGGCTCAAAGAAAATCCTGAAAAATAATCACTATATATTAGAACAGGAGCCTGTGCAACTATTCTCAAAAACTGTCTGTTGCTAACAAAAAACACCTCAATACAAACCGGATTATTTATTTTATTTTGTTGTTGTTGACATACCTGTATTTTCTCTTCATGGAAGTATTGACAGCGAATGCATTGACTGATCCGTCAGTTTTCTTCCCCTGTTTGAAAGGAATCACATGAGACAGTGCAAGGTGTATTTTTTGACATATTAACAATATTAGGGGTTTCTTCAGTTTAAGGAGATCAAATACTTTTTTAAATGCCAATCTTTTTTTCTCGAATAGCTAAACTTTCAGATTTTAAAATGCTTTTTTCAGAAAACTGCAAGTCATAAAACCCTACATCCTTTACCAAAGCATTTTATAAAACTTTGATTTAAGACATTTTAGTAATAATTCTGCCTTATTTTTTAAATTAATGTTGTGACTTAAGACCCTGAGAATATGCAGGAACTCTGTAAATGTAGTAGAATCTGCTTGACTCCGCTCGTTTCTACACTGAACTTATTTGTGAGGATCATTTTCTGGAGATAAAAATCTTTAAAACAAATCTGTATTCCTATAAAACGTATAATAAAAATGTACAGCGGTTGGAAATGCCTAATTAAGAAAATAATGTACACTGTGTTATTGGTCAGTAAACAATACCATTACACATAAAACAGTAGCAAGTGTAACATGACACTGATTATCCAAAGAGTTTTAAATAGGAAGGTTTTAGAGACATATGTGTGAAGTAGTAAGCATACGACTAGATTCATGAGACTTGGATTACACTGCATTGGTCGTGAAAGAGTTTGCAAACAGATGTTTTAATATCGTTTTTGTATTGTTATATTTTACCCCAAGTTAGCAATTGAAAAAGAGTTATATTATAAATAAGAACATATTTCAGCACTTCATTGTCAAATAAGGATAAATGTTGCAATAGAAGCAAGACCACGGTCACATCATCAGGATCTACCTCTAATGATACTGTGGGCATTCACCATGTGTTTGGAAAAATTCAGAGCATAACTACGACAAATTGGAAAGTAAAAAAGGCAAGGACAAAACAAACAGTATGTCTATCTTCAGTGGAATGTGGAATAAAAAAACAGTATTTGGAATAAAGTGCGCCTCCTTGTGGCTGCACACCACAGGACACCCTGTGCTCTCACCTTGGTGGAGTTAAAGGAACCAAATCCCATCAGCTTCATCATCTCAATCTCCTCTTCGGTTTTGCCCTCCATGTCTTCCTCTGTGAAAACGAAAGGATGCTTTTGAAGTTTAGCCGAAAACCTAAATGTTTGTCAAAGCTGAAAGTCTTTTTAAATGCATGTCAATATAGCATTTAGGGGCACATTAACATTTGAATACCTGAGATCAGAATTGGCTTTGCAGCCTTTTCCTTCGGCTCTTTGCTGTCCTCATCACGCCGTTCGGACGATGTGGAGCGATGGCGTCTGGGGGGAGACCTGCAGGGGGAACGAGGAAATGTGAAATAACTGCAGGATGCTTCTGCAACTTAAAGGGAATATAATGGTCATCATTTGTGTAAGTCTAATACCTGGACCTAATGTTCCCCTGTTTTGGTGTCTGAGTGTCTAACGGAGGCAACAATACAGGTTTCAATGCCATCGTTCAGCAAAGGACAACCACTTAAAGGGTTTGCTTTTACCCCAGGCATACGTGTTATAACTGTCAAATCTAATTAGGGAAAAGGAGCCTACAGAGAAATATATCGCGGTGCAAAATGGCCCACATTGCGACACGTTAAGTGGCCTCCTGTTGCAGTGTTACCGCAGCAGTAATACTGCACTTATTTCATAAATTGGCATTCACATTATTCATTAACACACAAAAACATGGGAGGATAGGATCATGGATGACAAACACAAAGTCTCATTTGCAGATACATGTGCTTGTTCTCAAAAGGCAAATAGTACCATAGATGAACTGCAATCATTCAAAACAAAGCTAGTCTTTGACAATTACCTAGACTCATATTTGTTGACAATATAAAACACATTAAGTCTCAAATGTAATATTTATCCTACTTTTGTGTTAAAAATCTAAATAGCACACTGCAATCATAAAAGGAATCAAGAACTCCAGACATAAATATAATTTAAAAAGAAACGTGGCTAAGAGAAATCCCAACCAGTCTTCCATAAACGTTTCCTCACCTGGATCGTCTCCTGTGAGGAGATCTGGAGCGACTTCTCCTGCGCTCGCGATCTCGAGAACGGGATCGCTCCTTCTCCCTTCGCCTTCGCTCACGATCCCGAGAAGTGGAGCGGGAGCGCCTTCTCTCTGCAGGGGAACGAGATCATATTAGCCGGGAACTGAGAAATGTAACAAGCCTTATGGGCATCCACACAATAACAGTGTTCCACACACCATTAAGAGGTGTGATTTAAAAAAGGGCTTAACCTCATCCATCTGTTGGCTCCATGCGTGTCTAATTAAAGTGTATTTGTAGTTTTCTTTTGCAAAGACAGAGTGCAATGTATGCCACACGTAGGACTGACAATTATAATTATTTATATTATTAGCTTGATCAATCTATTGGGTCTCTAAAATGCCTGAAAGTAGTCAGAAATATCAATCACAGTTAGTCCAAGTCTTTAAATGTCTTTTATTTTCAGTTACTAAAATAAAATAAAAAAAGCACTTTCATATGATATAAAACAGAGAAAAGCAGGACATCTCTATCCATCTGAGAAGCTGAATGTTTCGGCCCATTTCGCAAGAACATTTAAGTTAATACTATTTCTGTTTAATTGGTGGATAAGAGTGCCTTCAATTCATTCTTCATGCAAATGTATATTGTTGTTGATATAATACAGATATTACATTGTTTTCAGGACACGTTACCTTTACTCTTTAACTTTTCGACCTCAGGTAGAACTTGGCCGCCTGAATATGCAAGAACACATTAAAATACTGTACAGATCTACATATAAGGTAAGGCTGATCTTAACCAACGTGCTTTTAAAGTTTATAGTTTGAAACCCTGCCCCGCAATGAAAGATCAAATGTGTGGAAATTCAGTCACATCTTTTTAAAACGATGTAATCTAAATTGACAATAACAAGCACAAACCAACTCAAATGTTTCCTAAAATGTGATGTTTTTACGGAACATCGTGGAAAGATCAAAGTTCTTATATCACTCTTTAAATCAGTCGATGTGATTAAAAGACTGGACTCAGGTTGCATCTGTATTTCACAATCAGAAACAGGTCTATTGCCAAGTAGTTTTACACATACGAAGAACTGACTTGGTGTACTTGATAGACTACATAAAACAGAGTTAAAGAAGATACAAAGTAAGAAAAAGAACCCCCCAAAAAAATACATTTGTGTGCATGCATGTAAACATAGTAAGTGTATAGCTTGAAATATGCTATGTTTGCACCAAACTTCGTCATTAAATTAGATTTATTTGTATCTGTTGAGTATTTGATTCAAACAGAAGTATTAAAAATTACATTTTTAATTCTAATCAGACTTTATTTAGGAGTTAGGACACAACTCATGGAGGTCTAAAATAAAAGAATGCTAATAGACGAAAAAATAATAAAAATCGAGATTAGAAAAATCTATCGTGATATAGCTTCTATAATTCTGCACTTTCTAGAATGTGTTAATTTAATTGTCACATTGTGGTAATGTCTGCTTTCTTATACTGTGAAATAAGATAACGTGTTATGTTTGGAGCTCGGTAGCATCATCATGAGCATCATGCGTTGTGTTTACGTTAGCTAAATTAGCTTAGGTA